TAACAAAAATTCTGCTTGAAAATATTTTTAAAAAAATCAGACTTATAATTAAAGTCAACAACACTTGAAAAAACCATTAATTGAGTCATTTTAAAGATGAAACAGAACTGTTTAGTAAATAATTATATGCTAACCTGAAATTTTTCGTTCATCTTAAAATTCCATGGTGAACACTACTAATCTATCCTTGATTTATTTTTTCAAAATGAGATGAACATACAATGTTTTCTATTATTTAATTTTGAAATAAAGAGATTTTGAATGCAATTATTGCAGTGAAGTATATTTGTAGTTTTATGTTAAGCTAAATTTAACTAAAAATTGAATTAGGAAAAAAAGTCGGTAGGAATTTTATTGAAAGTGGAGAAATTTAAAGTACCTTGTTTGGCTCCATCCGTGTCGTAGCCAAGTAAATCTGCATTCAGAAGAGCCCATAATGAGAAATTACTTGTTGAAGCTAAAAACGAATTAAGAAATAAGCAACTAAAGATTGTTTAAATTAATTATAATTTGAATTTGGAATTGATTTAAGAAAAAAAAAATATCAAAAAAGACATTTGTGAAGTATGAATAATGTAATCAAAAAAAAGAAAAAGAAAAAACCTTTTTCAAAAGCATTACGGATATTTGTTTCATAAATCGCAGATGCACTATTCCAAATATCAAACCAATTGGAAAAGTAAACATCCATATGTGTTAGAGAAGATAAATATTTTAGGAATAACTTTTTTCCAGAACCCAGTGAACCACTAAGAAGTATAACCAGTGTTGGCGAGGATGTTTTCAATCTACAATTAGCTTCGATAAGAGAAGAAATTCGTCGTGCTATTCCTAGGAATTGTTCCGGCACATAACACGTAATATTACTGTATGGTATTCTGTCATAAATTCCCTTATCCTGTAAAATATTTAAGTGTCATCCGGTGTAAACCAAAATTTTCAAGAAAAAAAAGAAAGTCCTAAGAATAAATTTAAAAATTCTAGTTATAAGAAAAACCACTAAAATCGCACAGAAATTTTAGGAATAACTTTTTAATAACTACAAACTAGAAACTAACTAGACAGAAATATGAAAAAGTTATAAAGTTCGTTGATCAAAACTTTGCTAGATGAAAGCGAAATCTTAACAAAGCAGAAAAGACCTTAAAAATATAATTTAAAAAATGGAAAATGCATAATTATTTGCTCCTTCATACAAGACAAATTGAATATAAGACCTGATATAACGTTGTATTTTGTGAGTCGACGATAGCTTCCGACAGTCCCTCCGAATCCTCGAAATAAAGAATCTGAAGATATGATACTTGCATAAAGTTAAGAGACCACTAATAAAAATTATAAAAAAATAAAAATTAACTTTTTTAAAGAAGCTAATTCCAAACAGCCAGTATAATTTATTCATTCAATTTAGTTCTCATTTACACTCTCAGAAATTAGCGATGATAAAGAGTTTATCCTAGAAAGTACTACAATACCTTGAAGAATATCTCTTTCGTTTTTTTGCTCCATGGTTTACGCCAATGAATAGCAATGATATCACCCACCGAAATCAGTCTACAAATTATTTACATAAGAATTTAATCAATTCAAGATGTTTATAAATTTAAGTGAAATTCCCTACGATCATATATTTACATGATAAAAACAAATAGATATTCATCTTACATAAAGAAAGTTAAGAGATCACAATGGAGTTATAATCAAGAAGTAAATCTGAAAGTTTTGATAGTATGGTGATTCGTGGAAGTTTGCAATTTCAGGTAAAATTTCAGGCATTTAAATCTACACTAATGCAATGGAAATATTAAAGAAATATGATCTTTTGACCATTTACACCAAATGGCAACTTATGATATATAATGAAAATTTCTATGATAATAGGATAAGAGTAAGAATAGCCAAAAAGATAAACCTTGGTGTTTGAAAATATTCTCGAAGTTCATCCGAATAATCAGCTAATGGATTGTAAAAAGATGTAATAATCAAAGCAATATGAACACCACACGAAATACATGGTTCTGCTTCATCGACAATATCTGAGCAAAAAGTCTAAAAATAAAAAAAATTGCCAGTTTTTACGGAATATAACTAGGCTACAAAAATAATTTTATTATACTAGCAGTAGTATATGAACTGTGATAATCTAGTCCAGTTGCTGCTTAACTTAATTAATCTTAATTATTCCCTTTTGCAATATTTGCTTCGAAAGATTGAAAAAATATATTTTATTATAAAAATGGAGTGGGATAATACAACAAACTGGTTTATTAAAGAAGAAAACGGTATAATCTGATACAAAAATATATTGGGAATGATTAAAACTGCATCATTCTTCATCAAATAATAGTTCAAATAGCTCAGAAACATAACAAAAATGCAATCATTAAGAAATGAATCTTCTCAATTCAATTAATTAGATTGTAACTTGCTTACAAATATAATTCTCGAAGTCAAATATCACATGGAATTTAGGTAAACATCATATGACTGACTTCCTACGAAATATAATTATAAATTTGAAAGCATGAATTAAGTGGAAGTAGTTTAACTGATATAATCAGCAACTATTCTCGAGTGATGGAAGCTCTTATGACCACTGAAATGCTATGTTAATTGACTAAGCAGTTACGATGACACTAAGAATTTATAAATAAATTAAGGTGTGTAAATAAACGCAAAAAAGATACCTCAATTAATATATCGTCAAGGTGAAACTTTCTGTTGGAAAGATTAAATGCACTAAGTTCATCGATGAAAGCAATAGGTTTATCACACAGTATTGGATATATTTTGACAGGATATATAATCATTTTTTGATTACTGTTGTTACGATTTTTAACAACAATTTTTTTAATATCCTTTTTATTAGCTGTAATTAGAAAAGCATAACGACAACCGATCCACACTGTTGTTCCAGAACTGAAAATATTCGCAAATACAAAACGGGAAACTTTTAATTTAAATCAACTAACAGCATTCTATGTCAACTTCGAAGATGAAACTGTAAAATTATTTCTGAGACTTGGAATTAGGAATAAAATTTTAAATTGAAGTTATGCCAAAACAACCAGTAGATTAACTAAAATGGTTGAATAGCTTACAGCAAAAAAAAAAGAATAGTAAATAATTATGTCATACCACCAAATTATGTGATGCAGTAAATAATAGATTACTATTACAATTAGTAACAATTCCGAAAGCCACTAATAAATTAAGAATTCCAAGGTTACAAATAGAATTAAAAATCTATACTCCTTCATTTTGTTACAGAATTGACTGTTTATGTTCAAACTATTATGTCTTAAGTTTTTTAAACCGTAACAACTTTCTTGAACAGTCCGAAACATCAATTTACCTACTTAATTGTTCTGGCTAATAGCAATAATTTGATTACTATTCTCTTGAAACTTTTAAGCTATCATAATTTCCTGAACAAAACAATTTAATGCATTTACTCATGATGAATAAACGGCATATGTTAGATAAAGCTAACAGGTGAAAAAATTTCAAAGTAGTAAAACCAATACCCGTTTAATTATAGAAAGATGACCACTTTTTCAGTCAAATCTAACAGGAAAGAAAATAGAAACCTTTGATAACCATAACGACAATGTTTTCCTCTGATGGAAATTTGTTGACTTTTGTGGTGCATACAAATGTACTGACTTGGACTTTTCCTGAACCATCTGATGTACAATGCCGCCAAGAACTGTGCAAGCTTATAGTATAACAAAATTCGCTTATATCGCTTCATAACAATCCAAAACGATGGCCGCTTAACTTAAAAAACAAAGCAATAAAAACAAACCGAAGAAAAATCTTCAAACTGCTAAAACTTCACGGAAAAGATGATAGCAAACTGATTTAAAACTATAAACTCCCTGTTCAGGTAACCTGTTAATATAAGCAATGAGGATAGATGAAACTTCGGTGATCCTTCGAGATTCTAATTAGAAACCAGTCCTACTCAACTGGTTTTATCACGTTATGTATATAAATGTAAAAAATAATGCAATCATGTGGAAGGCAAAACTGCATATAAGTTTTATCTAAAAAAGCATATGATGCAGTATGAGAGATAACATCAAGTGATGCATAAATATTTTAACAAACAACAACAAACAGTAAATTATTTTCATTTTACAGGAAAATTTCATCTGATGTGCATTACATAAGGAATATTCTTACAAATAGTTAAAACTACGTTATTACTCTCAACGTATGATAAAGTGATCAGATTAATCAAATGAGAACATAACATTCAATGAAGTTGACCTAAAATATGATAACAATATAAAAAGTGCACAGTATTGGCAGTATTATTTTAAGAAGTACAATAACAAAAGATAAACCCACCCGATCAGTACGAAAGAAGCATGAAAAAGTTAATCACTGGTTTCAGAAAAGCTAATAAAAGAACAACAATAACCGTAATATATGGAGATATTGCATGTGAACAATTACTATGCATAAGTAGGAATACAAATGCCAATTATACGTTAAATTCCTGGCAGTAAAACGTAAGTATAATGCATAAAATTATAATATACACAACAGTTAACACCTTAAGTTTATAAACACTCTTTGTTGATCTGATCAATTAAAATAAAACGCACTTTGTTCTATAAGATCTTCGATTAAACAAGAACTGACATACAATGGAAAAATCGTAATATTATTTCATAAAACTTCCGAAGAATAACTGAAATTTGATATCTAAAGTATCCAGGGTTGGATGATCAATTTGAACCTTGAAATTTGGGACACTGTCATGATTTGCCGGCAGAAAGCACAATCTGCCGAGTATTCAAAAGAGGAAACAATATCGACTATATTTTCTAGTTTTTTTATTTCTTGATTTAGAAATATTGAAAAGTGTCCAAAAGTAATTGGAGTGTTTTAAAAAAATTAGAAAGAATAAAATTATCCACATAAAAGACTAAATATAATATGTAATATATATAGATGAAAAATTGTGAAGAACTGATGACTAATAGTGACTACTGGCAACCACAATCACGTACTTGCATGTCCTTGTAGCGTTTCAGTACCACATTTTGAGCATTATCGATGAATAGTATTTTCATTGAACGTAACGATGAAGGTGCACATTTTGCTTCTGATGTCCTGCAAATATGATCTGGTAGAAAGGAAAAATATACCTAAAATTTAAACAACTGAAATTCAAAATATCTGCAAGTAAGGTAAGTCTTGTAAATAAAAGATTATAATTTTAAGATAAAAAAGAACAGAATGAAAGTATGTAATTTGAGGAATGAAAAGAATAGACGAGTTCCAAAACATAAATCATTAAGACATATTTTTGGGATATGCAGAGAAAGGGCAACGTTCAAATCACGAACGATAAAAAATTCTTATATAATATAAATGAAGGATAATTTTGGACTTGCAAATCACGACTTGAGGTAAGTGTCTATGACATGCCATTCCATACATGGATTTAACTATTACTAACAATTATTCAAACAAAAGTTTTCATTCTGTCTCTTTTCAGTTCTGTAGAAAAATAACAATCGCCGTGTTCCAGTAACTATTTCTCTAAAAATTTTCAGCACTTGCACAAGTATTCTTATTGCACTGTATTAAGTATTATACATCTACATTACCAATATCAAAAGTGAAGAGAATGCAGTTCCTTCTCTTTTTTACATGTCTGATAATATGGAAAAGAAGTTGATACAAAAGTAGAACAAAAGCAAACTCCGATAAATCCAAAATTTGCTCATGAAAACAACACTGACAGATGCTTAAAATGTGTAATATATGAACACATAATAAAAAAAAACCTGGTTGGGTCGATGAGGTGAACAAGTGTCTGAACAATAGCATGATTCGTTGCATTCATATGATTATTCAGTGGAAAGGAACAAAAGCCATCACAATAATATGCATGGTAACCATCTGGTGCAATAACCCAGTCCTATAGCATTCTTACAAAATCACTGCAGGTTGCAATTCTATATAATAAAAATTATAGAAATTTGTAAATCAGAAAGATCACCGAACTCTCCAATCATTTAGCACAGTTTTTATGTGTAAAACGATTGACCAATGGCATCTCGAAACTTTTCATAATTGTGGTCAAAGTGCTGTGCTAAACAAGCAAAAGTTCAGCATTCACCTGCCAACCAAGATCTTTGAAGTCCACGTAAAGTGTTCGCCTACGGCAGCCTTTATTAGAAGCTGAAAATAAATCAAATATAGGAATAACTACATAGCAAAAAAAATATATACATATATATAACTGACGCTAAAAAATGAAAGAAAAATTTTTAAAGTCTGCCTGAATGTCGAAGTGGATCAGGTCTTGCCGAAAAACCATATCCATAATCATCAAACGCACTGGTTTCATCAGATGTGTCACGTTTAACGCGTTGGTGGATATGATTTATACCGTCCACAAAGGAAGCTATCCCAAATCCACGCCATTCACCAAAATTTTCCAAGAGCTTCCTCTCTCCTGAAGCTATCAAAAAAGATGCAAAAGATTTCAATACTAACTATTCACTTTAATATTAACTATTTACAAATTCGAGTTCATTAAAACAATTTTTTCCACTTATCGTATTTTCTTAGTATGCAGATCGCTCAGAATTACACTTCGGAAACGTGATCAAATTATGTTCCTCTACATACAACAAAAGTTTGTCCAAGATTAAACATAAATCTTCAAAAACGCACCGTGCGCTGAGATTGCATAAAGAGTTACAATATTAAGAATCGAACGATTATGAATCCAGCGTAAGAGTGTTTCTGTAATATTTATAACAAAATGTCCGCTGCCTGATATACGTGACTCTATTGTTGTATAACTCAGATCTCTAAACAAGTTAAAACATTATATAAAACCAGTAAAAATTTTTCAAAGCAGTTTTATTAAGTGCCGTATGAAAAAGCTGGCATTGACAGAACAAAAGATTTTTCCAAACAGTACAGCTCCACAACATGTTATACCAATTCACTTTTATAACTGTTCAGAATCTTTCATGTAAATAAGTCCGAAGTAGTAAATATTACAGAATAGTGATAATACTACTAAGAAGTAAACATTACCATTGAACCTAGGGAAAGATAAATAAATTCTGAAAACTACTAGTTGTTTTTAATAACTGTCATAACAAACCTTGAATACGGAATAGTTGCGAAGACGCGCCTTGGTTTAATCGAACCATTAAAAAATATTCGAAGTTCAGCATGCAAAAGCTGGCCACCTATCGGTATGTTCGCAAGATCGAACTGCAAATTTGTCCCATAATTTGGTGCTGTTCTCTGCTCTGAAAAAATATTCCCACTGCAATATGTGAAAATTCAAACAGTAATATATATATTACGAATTCACCTCAGAGTGATTCAACTATGGGAAAATTAATTCTTTAATATTCTCATAGTTAAATCATATGCATATGCAGCATAGATTAACGATATTGCACATAGATAAATTGATGATCAATAACTGAAAAAGGAAAATGAAAGGTAAATAAAAAAAAAAAAAAAAAAGAACATATGTTCCCAGTAAGTTTCGGAAAAATTATTAGGATCACCAAAGAAATAATCTCAGCCAGTGGAAAATCACAACCTCGTGGCAAGAATGAGACAATTGTGTCAGCTTCGCCTAATTCAATGGCTTCTTTCTCATCTGCTGACAATAACTGTCCACTAGCCAGATATCTAAAATGAAAAGCAAACATTTTCCTCACATAATTAAAAATTTGCAATGCAAAATGGAAGAAAAATTTTCTAGAAAGAAATCAACAAACGTAGTATCCGATGATTCTTTATCTATGTAATTAGATTAAATCATTCATCTCCTTAAACTGCAGTGCAGCAGTCACATTTTTTCACCCTGTTTCCAGCAATATTTACGATTTAATTAATACTTTTTTTGAAATCAGTTCTTTAACTTAAAAATTAATTAAGAAAGAAAGTGTTAATACTTGTAAGCGGGATTCAACTCAACGTCATGCTCCAAGTTTCGATATAAATCTGCCATAAAACGTGATGCTATGTCATCCTTTACACCAACAACTAGCGGTCTTGGATATCCAATCCCCAATAATTCTAATATTTTTGACTCCAATCTCGCACTTCCATGTCTGAAAAGCCATTAATAGACATGAAAGAAAAATGCAAATGTATTGTTTCTTGAACCTATTAGAATTAAGTAACCGAAGGAATTAACAGCCTGAAAACACTGGACGGAGAGATACTGTTTGACAACCTCACTTTGCAGTAAAAATATGACGAAGAAACAAGAGATGATGAATGCACTTTTTGTCAGAATAAAAATTACGTGAAGAATTACGATGTCCCACATATTATTTTTATATCCTCAATTAATATTTAAACAAATTAAAACCCATAATACCTGCATAATTTAATTTGAATATTTAATACGTAACTCGGAGGGATATCTAGGGATTTTGATAACTGTTCCGTTAAAAATAAACAGCACCCAATATGATATCAATGAAATGATCAAAATTTCCGATGAAATTGAGAATTAAATCTACTTTATTTATCAAAGGTACTTTATTTTAATTACTTTAAACTACTTTATTTTAAACATTAAGTCTGTGTGAGATTAGCTAATCTGTGGATTTTTATCAACTAATCTTTGTTTACCCTTGAAATAAAAGAAGTGAGAAGCAAGCTTAAGGACCTGCTAACAGAAAGTGGTATCGATTGTGCATTTTCATTATCAACATAAAAGCCCGTTGATGCTTGCGCTATATTGAAACAACAAACCAGAAACGATAGCACTAATACAAACAATTGACTATCGCAATCCATCTGAAATTTGAATGCCTTAAATGATTCAGACTAAAAGAATTCAGAGAAAAGCAAAAATGCAGAAGTTATGTTTCGAGTTTAAATTAAATAGTTTAATTATAGCTGATACGGAATTTTATCTGTACAGAATTAATACACCTTTTTTAAGGAAACGAAAATTCCATTCCTCTCATCTGAGATCCAATCTGGTCAACACAGTTTTTTTTTTGCGAGTAATAATACTAATCAAAATAGAGGCATATATGGCGTCGTTCAAAGATTCCAATATTCTTTGGGAGAAACATTTTATTTACTGGTAGATGAAAATTTTTTTAATTATTAAAACTTTTACTACACATTGCAACTCTACTGGACAACTTGTTAACAACATTCCAACAATATTATTTTATTAAATTTCTGTTTATTTAACGAATTGCACCAGAGATTGAGTGGGAAATATCCCAGTTAATCATACTTTACTTTACCAATCTAATGTGGCAATTATTACATAACTAATTATTACACAACTTATCATTTGTTTCGATAGTTGTGACATTAACAATCTTATTTCTTATTTCGTCAAATTAAGTTTTCACATTCTCCGCCAGTTTGTACAATCTCTCTTTTTGGAATTCCCTTTTTATCATTCTCTTTTACAATGACATAATTAGAGCTCTCTCTCTCTCTTCTCTCATTAATTGATTTATTTCCAAAAAAAGAAAGAATACAACAAGATAACCCTTGACCTATGACCCGGTGAAACAACACACAAAAGAATGTCGCAGCGATTAAGCCGTCACCTATGCTGCAACAGTGTGCAAGTGTCTTATGATGGACTTGCGGATTACTGTGTATGCTTCTAGATTGTTCTGGAATGGCGGGGGCGGGGGCGTTTGCGAACAATTTCGAATACAGAATTGGTTTTGTGCTGATTGGTTCGGCAGTTGTATTCGATGACTGCTTGGCGTTCTGCGACGTTTCGGCTCGGGGAGGTGCGGGCAGTCTTCCCCAGGTATCTAAGGGCTTAGTAATGGGTACTGCACTCGGTTGTACATAAAATGTCGCCTTTGAATAGGAACTTATGTTTGCATTGCTCCGAATCACTTTGCTCACTGATTTCCTGACCAGTAGGCTTCACCTCATATCGGTACTGCAATCCACATTAAGACGAATCTCTTCATCTAGTCCACTGTCATTTGTAAATCTTTGTGATAAATTCCAATACCCATTATAATAAGACATTTGAAAGTAAACAAGGCTTTCACTTTGATTTGCCAGGTTTGTCCAAGTAGTTAAATATATAAATGTCATATTGTTCCTTTTCTTTATGAAAATGTCATACTGAAGTGTTAACTTTTACTTTATTTATGCGGTACATCTCGTAATCATTGGTGCAGATCGCACGTAATGCCATATAGTTTCTAATTTTTAGGTGACATTAAGACAAGGACGCGTTTATAGTGAAAGGCAGTGTTCTCAATAAACTATAATGGCAGAGGTAATTTGTTCTTTTTGATTGTTGTGTCAATAATCGTCGAGTAAATTTCTCTTTACTTAATATTTAATATGTGCTCTCTACTGAGGTTTATATTGCAGGCTTTAAAAGAAAAAGAGCTCGGTAATGCGGCCTATAAAGAAAGGAATTTCGATGAAGCAATAAAGCATTATGATAAAGCTATTGAGATTGATCCTACGAGTATTGTTTTTTATAACAATAAAGCTGGTGGGATCTATTTATAATTTAAGAAAATCCTTTTTATTTTCTTTTATTGCTTCTATTACTACCTAATGATTTAGTAGTGCGCTAGTCGGAGGATGTGATTTTGAGAATTTTGGACTTATCTTTGGTGATGTGCTTTCTATTTCCAGTAATTTTTTGGTGAACATATTTAAGCAGTCATTTATCAGAAATTTGCATTAATCCTATTTAGTCAAGGCTCGAATTCATTTTTTATGATAAATAGTCTCATTAATTCAAGCTTCTGATTGGAGCACTTTGCAGTGTTAAAAATGCTAGAAATGTCGTATTTTATACTGAGTGATCTTAGATTATATATATATATAGACATCGTCGTATGTGTAACTGTTTTACCATAATTCCTATCTGCCTTACTTTATTCTAATTTGAAATATGTCTTTGAGTGTTTATGTTAGTTATTCATGTTTGTTGGTTGTTTTCTTATGATTTTGTCGGCAGGCATTATCATTAACTTCAGTATAGATTAGATAATATATGATGAACGAAGCAGATATTATATTATTGTAGCGGTGCTTTTCGAGCAGAAAAAGTATGACGAATGTATCGAACTTTGCAAGAAAGCAGTGGACATTGGGCGTGAACAGCGAGCGGACTATACGCTAATTGCAAAGTAAATTATATGAAAAATCTTTAGTAAATGAGATATCTGCCTCCATTCAGACAGATGTAAATGTAGATAGGGATCCTATATAATTGTGGTCAAGTTGGATTTTAGCATGTGAATGAAATTATTTTACAGAGCCTTTTCCCGGATAGGAAATGCTTACCTGAAACTGGATCAATTGAAAGAAGCACTTACCTATTTCGACAAGTCATTGTCGGAACATAGAGATCCGGTGAGACATTATTTATAAACTCCTTTATTTGGTTCCTGATTTTATGACTTTCAGCTATTCAGTCTTAATGTGTTTCGCGTAATATTGATTGCTTGCTTTACATCGAATTTAATTACCGTTTATTTTCTTTGTAGACTCTATCACTCATTTATCTTTTCGTCAATCGCTATCAGGTTGTGTAAATTTCAGGAAATAGTCAAGAAAAAGAAAGTGCTGGAGAAAGACCTAGCTGAGAGAGAAAGATTAGCTTACATAGATCCAGAAATAGCGGAAAAAGAGAAAATTAAGGGTAACGAACTTTTCAAGCGAGGTTAGTTTTCTTCGAATTTTGGAGATCATGCCTTAAATTTAGTTTTCTTTAATAATCAACAGTCCCATCTATCCTGTGACTGAAAACATGAATAAATCCCGTATTTTATTTTGTTTAAAAAATCATGAACTGCAACTTTTTTTTTTTCATTATGACACATTTTTTTAATATAGAAAAGTCTATCTAATACACCTAGAATATTTTAGGTTCTCTTTATTTTATACTACTAAAACTTTTCAAGGTAAATACCCAGAAGCTATGAAGCATTATAACGAAGCTGTGAAGCGAGATCCCGAAAATCCTGTTCTTTATTCAAATAGAGCAGCTTGTTATACAAAACTGATGGAATTCCAGCGAGCACTTGAAGATTGTGATACGTGTATCAAGAAAGATCCTACTTTTAGTAAGTTTATGATGTGCTGTAGAAAGTTATATGTATACGTCATAATTTATACCTGAAAATTCCATGTTTTTAATTACATATCAACTTATATGTAATATCTGTCTTCTTTTCAGTAAAAGCCTATATCAGGAAAGGCGCTGCATTAATCGCCCTGAAAGAATATGGGAAGGCACAGAGTGCATATGAAGCAGCTCTTGCATTAGACAATAATAATCAGGAAGCTCGTGATGGTTTAATGAATGCAATGAGCAACAATAATGAAGATCCGGATGCCGCACGAGAACGTGCGTTGCGAGATCCAGAAGTACAGGAAATACTCAAGTTCGTTTTCATCAGATGTTTTGTTTGACTGTCAGTAACTTTTTTGCAGTTTCTTCAGCCCATATTATTCACTTTCAGGGATCCAGGAATGCGGCTATTACTGGAGCAAATGAGTCAGGATCCTGGAGCAGTACGTGAGCACCTCCAAAATCCAGATATTTTAAGAAAACTTATGAAACTACGTGAAGCGGGCATTATTAAACTGCGATAAGAGAATTTTTCATTTGTTATGCGCAGTAAATGCCTGCTTACTTGGAGAGGTTCCGTTTCCATTTTTTGGATCTCTAGAAGATTTTGGTTTGTGTTCTGCAATAACGAATTAAAAAAACCAAGTTTAAATGCAACTAGTGCTTGTTAATGTACGGTAGTCTCTTAAAAGGATTGAATTTAAATAACATCATGAGAGATTAAGTTGACGTAGTTGCTTTGAGGGCCTTTGCGTACTTTTGCATTTTGTTTGCTTCATCTTTCTGATGTCAACCTTTCCTCTTTTGTTCATTTTCGTGATAACTAACTTTCGTTTTGTTTTGCTATCTGATAATAAAAAATTTCTTTCAGTCGGACTGTTCAGAGAATAAATAGCCCGGTATTATGGAGTTATTTGATAGGTACCGTAAACTTCCTGGAAAGGATTCATGGCTTATTTAAATATCAAACTGTACAGATTTGTGCGCAGTTTCATTGTTTTATTTGAAGATTTTATAAATACATGTTTCCGACCACTTTCAACAGCGTTTGTGGTGTGATTGAGAGAAGGAACTGCAGACGCAACTGTTCGTATACTTCGTTTACTAAGCAGGAACCGTCAGCGACTTCACGGAACTGAAAATGAAAAACATTTTCTGTTGATTTTATAAGGCAGTGGTAACGTGGTAGGACTTGATGTTTATGTCATTTCACGTTGATAGCGTGCGATCTAGAATAATCCAACTTTTCTAAAATCAAGAGAACGTCTGTACCCAATGAGCATTTCACTTTTGCTTTAGAACTGATCATTTTTCGTATTTTTCGTATTTGTTTTACCAGGTAATTAACAAAGTCGGCTCGTTTTGAATCAATCCAAGCTTGTGCGTCTTCTTCATCATTGAATGAAGGAGCATCATGGCCAACGAAAATCCCAAATTCTAGTGCGTTTTTTGCCTCGGTCAACGAACTAGATTTGTCTTGTTGCAATGCTTTAGCGCATTCCTTCAAATTATAGCATAATTTAGGATGTTTTTCAAATTTCAAGTATTTGAGAAATTTCAAGTATATATACTATATAACGGGCAGTCTTCATGTGAGGATTCTATTAAGGTAATGTGCTACAAACGAGCATGGGCAGTTTACCTGGATGGGGTATGTAAAACTTGTTAGAGAATTATTGTTTAGGTTCAACATCGTTGCAAGTATTTTGAGACAGTAGTCACATAATCCTATGGTAGGCTTTTTCGTTATTCTAAATGTCTCCTAAAAATGAAGCATTAACAATTGTCATAACTTGAGCATTTGACAACAATTACAATTCTCTTAGTAGTAGGAAATTGAAAAGGTCGTATGGATAGATACTGCTGTTGTTAGGAAATGGCGACATATTGTATCACTGAAGCTTTTATCTTTCAAAAGATCAAGATTACATTATGCGACGATGATTATTTGTCTTAGATCAAGTCATAGAAAATTTTAATTAAGATGTTAAAGGAATTAAATCAAAAGAAAGTTACTTGAAGTAGCAAAACTCTTGGTAGGTGATCCATGTTGCCAATCTTTTGATTAATTCGAGTATATCTAAACAATATTTGAATTGCATGGTTTAAATCTAAAACTTTGTGAAAGCAAAGAATTTTTCCTCAATAAATGAAATTCTGATTCAGTTAAATTTATACCTGCACATCAGGATGAATTCACTTAAATCATCGCTAATCGCTTCAATACCGTTCAACTGAAAAGATTTCAATGCATAGATAAGTTGTAATAAGATGAAGCATATCTTTAGTTCGTATTCTTCACTGACATCCTAAAATTATTAGTTTTTAAGTTAAAATTAAATAATCAGAAAGACAAGGAAATAGCAAATAAATCAAATATCAATAAGTAATTTCAATTGAGTTCTTGCAAGTTGCTTATATTTTATAAAACTCATAATGTACCTAAAACTTTGTTGAAGCATTACAACATTCCAATTCCAATTCCGATTGTAATTTAGATAAAGTTAGAAGGGAAAATTTACTTACATTTTGATGATTCGCAGCAAATGATTTGAATGTTAGCAAATTATATCGTGGAATAATTAAGAAGCGATATTTTTGGCTATTCCGATATCCCAGAGTATGTCGAAGTATGCGTTGCTCCTAAAAAAAAAAAAAAAAAAGAAAAAAAACTGTATTTAATTTTCTAATGAGCCAAGCATACTAGTAAATCATTTTACTTTGCATAATGTTCAAGAATGTATCGTTAAAAATTGAACTAAGCATTTAAACTTGAATAAACAAAAATGAAAAATTTAAGTTTCAATAAACAATATGCAAATATCTAAATCACAACGATCATACCTCATCTTGTTTTGCTCTAATCTCGACAAGTATCGGTGGGTTCCATATGTTTCCAACTGTAAGGTCAGACTTTATTGGATTTGAATGGATGAATAAAGAAGGCTCAGCCTGCAATAAGAGAGAGAAAGCGCATTGTTGTTTGATTACTTTACTGATAAGCCATATCAGTGCCACATTTACAATTATTGCCATTTATCTTACTATCACATTGATCGCTGAACTCAGGAAGCCATCATGCGGTAAAAATGCATTGAAAAAGTGTGTATAACATTTCGAGAAGACTGGCATCATTGATTCGAAAATTAAATCACTCAATTGCAATCTAAAATTTTTTTCTTATAAAATTAGAAATTTGAAGCTGAAGTTTAATCTGAACTAAAGTATCTCATTGATATTATCAAAATTATTGGAGTATTTTTGCTTTAATTTTAAATTACATTCATTTTATCATATAACTTTTATCTTACTTTGAATTTATCTCACTTTGATTTTCAAATTTAAATAAAAATTCGTCACTTTTGTAAATTCATTTTTGGTACCATTAAATTACGATTTCCGAAAAATTTGTTCACATGAGTTGAAGCATATTGCAATATTTCAAGATGATTTGAAGTCATCTGCAAATATTTGATGAGACTATGACACTGAATGTATATGCATTCATTTTTAAAATATTTCTGTTGAAATTCATTTCAAATTAATTTTAATGCAATAATTAATTTCTTATGATAAAAGATAAGATATCTACTATAGATGATATCATTTGATATACATTAATATGTTGTGAGGATTGATTTTCACAGCAACTTGACCTGTTTATAGAGTCCGATAACAGATGCCGAATCATCATCGTCTTCCGTTTCACTGCTAATACTTTGCGATTTTGATGGCGGTAATGACGGGGAAGCTGACGACATCTGCGCCACTGGTATCACTCTCTTGTAACTATCCGTTGAGACACATCGGATAATGCAACCTGAGGATCATTATTCTATTCAATTAAACTTATGAATAAACTGCATTTTTAATTTGCATTTATTAAATGAAAAATGTTTTTTAGTAATTTTAAGAAAAAAATGTTTGAAAATATTTCATTAACATCCGCAATTTTTTAAAAAAATTTTTCCTAATTGTTAAATTGTTGTCTTATTTTGCATATTTACTATTCCAATTATTTCAATTTATCATTCTAGTATTTTTTTAATAAATGGAGAGGAAAAAGAAAACAAAGTTGGACAGAACCGTGAGAAGAGGATGATGGTGTGCCAGCTGGACTTATTCTTGTCTCATTTTCTGTAATTGGCCTAGGATCGTTGACATTGTGAAGTTGACATGTCATTTGCTCATTCCGGTGGGAATTATTATTGAAAAATCCTCGTTGTTTCATACTTATTATCTGAACAATGATTGATTTTAATTGTACAAAAATTTTTCATTAATTATTTTGAAAATGAAATATTTGAATATTTTGAAAGATTTTACGAACTCTTAGACTGCTGGTTCTATTTGGCGGCTTATGAGATGACATTGGCGGTGATGGTGGCACAGGTGACATGCCAGACATTGTTGCTGAACGTCCTTCTACGTTCACGTACGTATCATTTGCCCTCGTAAGCCATTGTTTCGGTAAACTGCTACGAATGTTTTTCCCAGCAGATACCGTAAATGGTCGTAAATGCCTTTGCTGTAATGCATAAGATTTCTCAAACTTCATTAATAGTAGATTTATTTTATTTGTTGATATTTTCAACTTATCAATTAACTAATGAATTTAATTAATTAATTAATTAATTAATAATTAATAAAAAATAATTGATGAATTTATCTAAAATATGTTACTTTATTCTTTGCCAACTTGTAATTCTTCTCGGAATATGCATGCTCAGATGATTGCTCCCAATCTGAACTGTTAAATTCTTGATCCGATCGATCATCGCTGCTATTATATCGATTTTGTTCTCGTTGCTGCTTTTGTCGTAATGCATAATCACTTGCTATCTGATTGATTTTTACAGAAAATGAATATCACAACACTTCTCAATTTGATAAGAAACTAAGGACTGAAATATATATTATTAATATTCATAGCTTCTTTGCATTCACAGAGATAAATTAAATATATTTAAATTAGATGATAATCTTGTCAAAAGATACCTGGAATTTATTTAAGATATTTTTAAAATTTTTCAATCGTGGCATATCATCCATTTTCTTTTCTGATATAATTGGTACCTCTCTAAAATATATTCTGCATATATTCATCATTTTGTATTCAAAGAGAAAACAATATGTAATTACTGCTTAGCAAATTTGGTTCAAATCGCATACTTGGCTATATGTAACATAAAAATCGAATAGTATTATCAATTTCAGAGTAAAAAAAAAGAGTACATGTTGAAATTGATAATTAGTAGTGAATACAGGTAGAAAAGTAAATAAATCAAAAAGTAATTGAGATGAAATTATATCACAAAATGATTGCAACATTGATATCAACATTTTTTATCTATTTTTCTTTCTTTTGTCTTACCTGGATTTCAATTCAAAGCAAGCCATTTGCATTGACTGTTGTTGTAATCCTTCTTGTCTGTTAGTGACTAGGTCTACTCCTATTATTTGTCTTCCAGTACTCTAAATGTTTTATGTAAATGAATTTCGTCGTAAAATTTTCCTAAATTTGAAATCAAAAATTAGTCTCAACTTAGTCTTAACTCTCATTTTGATATTATGACTACAAAAAATTTAAGTTACTTTTGATATTTGATTCAAATACTCTCTATAATCTCTAATATAATTCAAAATATCAACGACAAAAGCTCTTAGCATCTGTTACTATTAGTGAATTAAATTTTTTCTGCTAAATAAATTTCAATATTAAATTAAAAATTTTTTGACTGCCATATTGTAAAAGCAGATTGAATATTCTCACATTGTTATTATCGGAATATTGTGCACTGCCAAGTTTTATTGAGTCTTTGTTATAAACTTGGCTAACAGATGTAGCATATCTTGGCTTTGGCTTTAGGATATCGTTACGAGTAATTAATGGATTGCCGATGATAGTTGGTGGATCTATCTGCATTTCTGGTGCTTTCTGATTCGAAGAATTGCTGTATACTAAGAATGCAGATTTCCGGATTGGGTAAGATGACGTGTAACTGTTACGTTCCTGATTTTGTTGCCTGAAATAAAAAACATATTTATGAAATAATTTAACTTTTTTTTTCTCCTTGCAATTGTTATTTTCTATAACAGTGTGAATAAAGTTTATTTCTCTGCGCATAATGTTAAGTAAATTAATGGAAATTCAAATTACGTATAAACTCGTCGTAAATCAATTATAATATGAAATTAGAATTCATAGCACTTTTTGAGAAGGAAGAAGGAAAAACAGATAGAAAAATGATTTCCTAAATTTCATCAAATTTTTGTGTTTTTGAAATAAAAAAATAAAAGTAAGCTTAGTCAGATTGACATACTTAGTCAGATAAAATTTGTTAGCATTACTGATAAAGTGATTTGATGGCTTAGAAACCGGTGGAGTAGTGATAAAACTGTTAAGTAGAGATTTTTGATTATTGTTCGTGAGTGCGTGAGGTGACAATTGTTCCTTTGCGTAACCGTGTCGCTTTCCAGGCGTATGACGTGGATCTTCGATCGTTGGCAAGAAATCCATTTGTTTCAATCAAAAGTTAAACTACAAGAAATTTGATTGATATTAAAATGTTGCGAATCACAACACTTACGTTTGAAGTTTTTTAGACAAACGTCTGGCGCTACTGGGTGAAATAACAAAGAGCGCAATGTAAACTCTCTGTTTAGACTTAAATTAAATTACAAAGTTTTTGAAAATCAATTTACTATTAATTCAACTTAATAATTAGTTTATTTACTAATAGTTGTTTATCATTAACTTCACTTTATCAATTTATTCTTTTATTGAAAAATTTTGAAATTTTTATGGAACAAAATATTTCTTAAAAACAATAAATAAATAGCATGGAAAAAAATGAAGAAAAAAATAATAATAAAATTCGTAATATTTTCTCCATCTTTTATTATAAAAGAAAAAAAAAAGAAAATATGATCTTAGATAATAAATAGAAATTAGCGTTGTTAGCAGAGAGTAACAAAAACTGAAATGCAAAAATTGTATCAAAGTTTTACTCTAAGTTTTACTTCTATTTTGTAGCATAACCGAATCAAATTGAATTTATTTACAAAAAATTAAAATGACAGTTTTATGGGATCTTATCCAAATAGCATTTTACGATTTGAAAAGTAAGAATGAATGATTATTTATTTTAAACAGACTGAGAGTGGAATAGTTCTTCAGATATGTTTGATTTCTGATTTAAGGAGAAGGAGAAGTGTCTCCACTTTTAATTTGTTTAAATCATTTCACTCTGAACTATACCAGAAAATGACAGTCGTATGTTTTACTTATTCCTACATTTTCTACACCAGGAATTTTAGTTATTCCTTATTTGATAGTTTTTATGCTAAATCATCGAAAATAAAATTTTCCAAATATGAAAAATAGTAATTAGACACTGTGATAAAAATAGCAATAAAACAAAATTTTGATTAATTAATATTTATATTTAATAGCAATCATAGCAATTAATAAAAAATATATTAGGAAAAAACAATAAATTATAGAAAATGAAAAAGTTACGAGTAGCAATGAAACAATTTAGATTTTTTTAATGAAAACAAAAGATGAATGTTGTAATTTCCTCTACCAAAATATTTTATTTGATTTATCAGTTAGCAGGAATGATGGTATTTAGGATCATTTAAGAGATATTATTGATATCAGCACCTCTTCAATTTATTAGAAAAAAATTGAATATTTATATTTATGGGAAACCTTATACCAAAAAAATCTTGAATTTTGAATATTGAAATAAATGTTTTAAAAAAGTATTGCTTTGAACTAGAAGCCGCGTCAATAATAAATAAAAGTTGAGAGTCAAAACTTAAAAAAAAAGATCAGTTTTAAAGGTTTATAATTTAAAAAAGTAAATAAAATATTAAAACACACGTATCCATGAACACTCACAAAGGATACTTATATACGTACGTACGTCACTTTATAATTAAAAATATTACTTTTAAATAATTTGTGTGATTTTTTTTATTCCTGAAAGATTAAGCGAGATTAAAATAGATCAAAGTTTAAAAGTTGGAAGTTTATATCTCTGAGCAAACTGTGATCTCTCAAAATTGATTTAATGTTATAAACAATGATTCAATTATGTTTCCAATGTATAATTGATAACTTTAAATAATTTATAATTTTGATAATAAAGTAATAAATAATTAATTTTGCAATGTTTTAGAGTAGTACCTATTCTGAATTGATAGATTAATCATTCAGGACGAAGTGTCATCTAATTGTCATACTGAAATGATCGAATGACAAAGGACAGAAATGATGCAAATCTAAGGAAAGCGATCAGATGAATGAATGAAACGAGGAAATTTGATAGGCATAACTCACTCTCGATTTTTCAACATCAATTTTAAAGATATTATTTGTAGACATTACTAGAAAACCTGTATTTTGTATTCGTCACACAAAAAAAAAAAAATGTTTGTTGTATACTTAAGCTTCTAGTGTTTGTCAACAATTTACCCACTTGTAATTTCTTTGCTAAAGTTTAAAAATAAGAAAAAGATATAGAATTTAAGTATTATAAGCATCTGTTCATTTTCCTCTTTTCTTTTTTAAAAAATTTTAATCTAAAATTTATTAAAATATATAATAATAATAAAAAAAAAGAATTGATGAAGATATAATCACAGCATAATTCCAAATAAAATTTCTTTTCTTTTTTTCCATAACAATTTGATTGGTAAAACAAATTGTCAGAAATTTAACATTTCTCTATTAAACTGATCTTTTCAAATAATTATTCTAACTTAACAAAATCTCATTTAATTGCTTGAATTTAATCAGTATCGATTTACTTTGATGAGAAATTTAAAGTATTTGAAGGAATATACCAATATATAATGGAAGTAATTGAAAGAAAAATGCTAACAAAAAAGATTGCAACAAAGGAAAAAAGTAATTCTGATTTAACTGAATTCTTTGCTATTAAATATTTTAATTTTAAAATCTAAATTTCTCATTGATCCTTAAGAATTTCGATTATAAATCTTCACAATAAATCTATAATTTATTCCGTATTTCACAAACATCGAGAAGAAACCATCGGTAAATTTGAGGAGAAAAAAAGAGGAAGCAATGATTAAATTTCAATATTATCAAATGTTAAAAGTAATATCAAAAGTAATTAAAACTCAATTAATCATTCAAAAATTTTCTTTGTTTTTCGTTGAATACCGCTCAATTAGAATGCTTATTTGTCGAACTTTTACCAGTCCCATCTAAAATTTCTGATAAATAATTTCAGAAGCATTAAAAAGATGCAATGAGAAATTTTAAATGAGAAATCTAACTAAAAAAATAAGACTGTAAGATTTTGAAGTTAAATTTCAAAGAAAATTAAAACTTTTGAGTCTAAGTTTAAATATACATTTTGAAATATAATGGAATGAACTCGAAAAATTATATTTTAGTTTAAATTCAAAATTTTCGGCAAAAATTAGTTCTGATTTTATACTCAAAATGAAAACTACAAAATGAGAAAAGATAATAATCGAATATAATGAATTTTAATATTAAATTGCTTTTTTGTTTAAATACTAATTTAAATTTAATTTTTAATTTAAATTTAGTTAAATATTCTCAAACTTTATCAGTGTTATATATTTTATAATTTATGTTTCACAGAATTTTTCTTTTTAATTTGAGAAAAACAAAACTTAAATGTGATTTTACGAGAAATTATAGAGCTGCAGCATTCGACGCGGGAAACGTGCAGCATTCAGTGTTCAGTTTTGAATTTATCCTTTGCACGCCTTTTGTTCCTGTTTTTACGTGCTCGTTCCACGTGCTTTCGGTAAATCGTCTACGTGTTTTCCGTAGATTACTATTCACCCATAATTATTGATAGCATAACAGTGTGAATTTTTGCTTATTTACGTTTATATTACCACATACAATTCGTGAATTTTCACTTTGAATCGATCGTTCATTTTTATTTTCTACTGTGTTAAACATAGTTATCTATTTTAGATAATATTTATTCTTTCTCTTATATTATCAGTTTTGTTTTCAATTTATTTAGAATGGCTCAGAGACAAAAGGAAAAAGAAAAGCAGAAGGCTTCAGCTTCAGCTTCAGCGTCAGTATCAGCGGTTACAGAGGAAGCAAGTAAGAGTGTAGCAGTTGAGGAGGACGATGTTAATTCCTACACGGTTGTTGATAAACTTGAGGTTAAACATTTTTAGTAAAACCTAAAGTTTACATAAGTTTTAACTGTTTTTAAAAATTCGAACAAGTCTAAGACTATTGTAAGTATTGCTATGGAATATTTAAGAACTTTACCCGGTATTGTGCTTATTAGCATGAAAACAAAACTGGTAAATCGTTAACTGCTGTTTTATTGCTAATCTTTTCAGGACTTGGGCATCAAACTGTTTTTTGTCATTTTTCTAGCTCATAATTGCCTAATAAGAAGTGGTAAAAAATTTTTAATATATTTTGTTCGAACTTTCTAAGGAATTTCTATGAGAGATAAAAGAGAAGTAACAAATGAGTAAACTTCTCATTGAATGCACTAATTGGAATTTATAATGCTGAAATGTTAATGCTCCAGAATTGCTCTTTTTTTTTAGCAATTTGGAATATCCGCTGCTGATATCCGAAAACTGAAAGAAGCTGGTTTTTGCACATTTGAAGCAATCGCTTATGCACCACGAAAGGAACTATACGCTATCAAAGGCATAAGCGAACAGAAAGCTGAAAAAATATTCGTAAAATGTTTTGTTATATTATTTTGATTTGTGGGGATGAGGGAAAAATAGTTCCATTATCTTATAAAAGATTAATGCTATGTGAAATCTCTGAGAAGTATTTGAGATGTCTTAGCCACAGGCTAACATTATTCTTTATGCTTTTGATATAAGCAAGTGAAAATCAATTTAGGCTCAGAAGACAGTGTTTTATTAAAGACTAACTTCTTAATTAGAATGCAAAATAGGTTGCTGCAAATTTATTCGATAAGAAATCGTCATCTTATATTTTTATTTTGAACATAGCTATAGCAAAATGAAAAATGATGGTCAAATTCATCAAGTTTTCATTGGATTAATAAAAATTTTTTGTTTCGATGATTTTGTTTAATTTTAGGCAGAAGCGGCAAAACTAGTGCCGATGGGTTTTACCACTGCTAGTGAAGTGCATGTCAAGCGGTCCGAAATTATTCAGATAGGTACCGGTAGTCGCGAGCTAGATCGTCTGCTTGGAGGTGGAGTGGAAACGGGATCCATCACTGAGGTAAATATTTTTATATTTGACAGATATCAACAAGTTTTTTGCACATTGAATAGTTCTGCTGTTAATTTTGGTGATCTTTAAATAATAAATGAATGTTTATCTTGAATTCTAAATTCATCAACTCATTAATAACTTTTTCCACTTTTCTTAGATATTCGGCGAGTTCCGTACTGGTAAAAGCCAACTTTGTCACACATTGGCTGTAATGTGCCAATTGCCAGTGGATATGGGAGGAGCTGAAGGGAAATGTCTTTGGATTGATACTGAAGGTACCTTTCGTCCAGAAAGATTACTTGCTGTAGCTGAAAGGTTAATCCTTACGAAATTTTACTTGCATATAGTTATTTGTGTTATTTGTTCAGTCTTGTCAAAATGCTTCCCTGTGATGTTTATTTCGCTATGTTATGTAGCATACTTGACTTGTGACACTGCTGTTGGTTATCTGGAATTGTTAAAGACAACAGTTGACATCGTATTTTAGATTTTAAGATATTATTAAAGAGCTTAAGGAATATTCTTTTCTTCAGTTTTCTGAAACAACTAGCAATGAATTCATTTTGGTGTGATGACACTTTTAGGCACAAGCTATCTCCTCAAGACGTTCTAGACAACGTTGTTTACGCGCGATGTTATAATACTGATCACCAAATGCAGCTTCTCATTCAGGCATCGGCCATGATGGCGGAATCAAGGTTGTCTGTCTAGAAAAAGCAGTTTTTATATTCTTTTAAAATTTAATTTATGTTCTAATGGGTATTAATACTGCTATGAAAGAACATCATGGTTCATAAAAGAACATCAAATACTTGGGATCACATTTCAGTCATTGCGGTTGATCTTTGAAAGTATATTCAGTCACAAAAATAAAAGTAAAAAAATAGAAGGATATCACGTAATAGTAGCAGTTGTCGTTCAAAATTAATTTAAGTTAGTTTTAGGTATGCATTGCTTGTTGTCGACAGTGCAACTTCACTGTTTCGGACAGATTTTTCTGGACGTGGCGAACTTGCTTCTCGACAAATGATGCTTGCAAAATACCTCAGAATGCTCCTAAAATTATCCGATGAAGTGAGTTTATGGTTACTAGTGTTTTATTTTGCTCATGAATAGTTTTTGAATTTCATTGAGTATTTCTCATACATCGTCGAAAACTGCAATCTACTAGCATACTTTAAGCTCTTAATTCCATTTCCTACATGCTTATCTTGCCTTTGCATGGGTCAAAAGGTTTTGTCTCTTCTTTCCTTCTCTCTCTCTCCCTCTCACATTTTTTACAAAAAGAAATCAGAAAGGAAATGAAATATATGTGTCAAAATGATTTTGTATGAAGACAGTGTTCAAGTTTTTTTTCAGTTTGGTGTTGCTGTAGTAATAACTAATCAGGTGGTGTCACAAGTGGATGCAGGTTGTGGTATGTTTCAAGGAGAAACGAAGAAACCGATTGGTGGGAATATCATGGCTCATGCTTCTACAACCAGGCAATTAGCGTTTTCTTCCATTTTATACAATTATGATCGCAAATTTATGATTCAAAGGATCCATTTCTGAGCATTCATTTTAGAATAAGTATTCTTTCAGCTTTCCCACCATTTTGGAGTGAGAAAAAAGGAGGATTTATCGATCAAAATTTACTATTGCAAAAATCATTAGCATTGTTCAGTCATCTACACAGTTCGTGGCATTGGTAAAAAATATATAAAAAATATATTATAGGCTTTATTTGCGTAAAGGACGCGGTGAAGCACGCATTTGTAAAATTTACGATTCACCGTGCCTTCCAGAAAGTGAGGCGATGTTTGCCATAACAACCCACGGCATTGATGATGTTACTGATTAGACAATGTTATTGCTTTTTTATGAATACTTGTGAAAAGGGCTGTAACATAAAAAATAGCGTATGTTTAATGAAATTCCTAATTAAATTCATTTTTAAATGAAATTCTTCTAAAAAAAAAAAAATTTAAGAATTGATTACTTATAACTTTATAATTCTAGTGACTTTTTTTTCCTTTTCTTTTGCTCTGAGAGAAATCTGGAATTGTTACACCATTGCCAAGTCTTATTTGTTAACAGTCTTTGATTGCCAGTGGATTGTTTAGAGCATTGCTTTTGTTGGTTGCATTTATTTCGGATAGATGACTCTCTGTCCATTTAGAACATGTAGTATTCCAACATCTGATTGGATATCCAGTTGTTTCTGTACTTCTCTTGAACGGGTTTTGATTGTTTATTTGTGAATCTATTATCAATTTGCAGTTTTTCTAAGACCACAATTTGCAAATGTGTTACTTTGAGATTTGATATTCGTTTAATAGCATTTTTATCGCTGTTTTTTTTTTCGAAACTTTTATTTTTTGTTGAAATTCATGTAGAGTTTAGGGAAATTAATGCAAGAACTATGTTTCTTTTCTGTAAATGTTTGAAATACCAAGGATCATATAGATGTAAAGTGAAATTTTTAGTCGACGAGCATGGTATTACTGAATTCAAAATGTCGTTGCTGGTCTTTTTGCTGCTGATAAGAATTTCGGGCGTTTGGTAAGGAAATAGACAAAATGACATGTGTATAATTGTGCAACCGTGGTTTGGCTTTATGATGTTGCTAACTGACATCGCTGGTAGTTCGGAGTAGGACTGCAAACGACTTAAATCGATTCCGAGCAGTCGTTATGGCTGACGAGGGTATCCCTTTTCCCGCAATTATTCGTTTTGTGATGAGAGCAGACGAAATTTCCAAGTTGTTCTGATATGCTTTCAGTAAGAAATGCAAATAGTCAGATGGAAAATTTGTGTTGTAAGAGTTAAAGACTCGGTAAATATTTAGCTAAAAAAAGACCAATCTTGCATTTATTTCCGCATAAATGAATACTATTGATTGAAACCTATACCGAATTAGAGTATTAAATGTATAGGACCGCATAATTTTTTTTTTACCGGATTGGGATATTCAGTATGGATTTTCTTTATGGATAGCATCGCCGTCAAAATTGAGAATCAGAAATAGATGATATTTTAAAAAGTTCTAGTAACCAGTTTGTTGTTAAACTGGCGATGATATGCTTGTAAATTTAGAGTAACTATCAAGTTGAGATCTTAATTGCTTAACTTTGTCCATCTGAAAGGGACCAAATTTACACAATTATGAGAGATAAAGATTTAAATTTTATGCAGCACTGCATTTTTGAGTCCGTAAATTTGCATCCATCTGAATTCTAAATCACAATTTCCATTAATGTTTAGTCTCTTCTTTCTTTCATATTAAGTTTTTTTTTTTGCAATGAGAGTGGCATATAAAATATATTAACACAACCCTTCGAGAATTTAGATATGAATTACCTGGTTACTAAGTTTGGTTAACATATAAAAATACTGATAATATTTGGGACACATGGATATATTGGTATTATTATCTCTTTATCAGCAATGAAGAGAATTCTAAATCACTATTTCAAACAAAAAAAAAAAGCATTAATAGCGATATTCGATTTGTTGAGAAGTTAGACTGTAAGCTATAAGCAAATATGAGATACTTTAAAGTAAGTACTAGAAAGTAATACTGGTTGAAACTTTCAGTACTCGTAATTCCATTTCATGTGATGGTAGATTACGAGATTGATAGCTAAAAGTATGAACATTTGTGTTATTTGCTTTAATCAATGACTTCATGAGATGATCCTTAGATCAGAAGATGAAATTGTTTTCTTTTTTTGTTGACGAGTATTAATTTTGCTAGAATATTAACCCTACACATTCAGCCTTGTCCAAAGAAATTTTCAAAATAAAAGAAACAGGCCAGAAAAGTTTAACTATATATAAGATATTTCCTTTTTTTTGCATTATTTTTTGGATGATATTATGAAAAAATGCTGTGTTTGTTTGGAAATTTTCACATAATTCTAATACTTCAATGACTCTAATTTATTTTGAAATTCTTAAATTACTTCTTCATCTTATTTAATCATTTTTGGTTTAATTTTTTTAAGCTTGTGATTTGTAATGATTAAGAAATCTCTTCTTTGTTTCCTTTTTTTTTTGCATAACAGAAAATAACTCTTTTAAGCAATTTCTCTTTTTTTTTTCTTGAATTAGTGATTATTTTCAATTGGTCAGTACCAAATTCCAATCATTTGTCATTCCAATGATTCATAACTTTCATTTGAATCATAAAACCAATAATTCGATTGCTTTATACACTATTTCTATTATATGTTATCTTCATTCACTATTCAATAATTCATTTCAAATTCAAGAGAGAATGCTCCCTGTCATAAATTTCTTGTCAAACATTACTTAAATAATACAATCAAATGTTAGAATATATTATATCTCATACAAAAAAAAAATTTAAATTCTTTTGCAACAAACTAATTCTTACAATTTCCTTGTACAAATCTAGCTGCTTATGATTTCCTTTGCATAAAAAATGAAATATAAAATATATGAATTTCTCAAAAGCTCTAAAGCTAAACAGTGAATTTTTAAAGAATATATAATAACTGAATTTGAAAATAAGTAACTGAAAATGAATTTTTAAACTTGCTAATCCTATCAAATTGGCAATAATTTTGTAACTAAGCATTATTCCAAAATCATTCGTAGTAATTTCAGCAAAAAGAGGTTCACATAAATCAATAAAAGATCTATTTCTGATAATAAATAATTGAAAGTCTAATAGTTTTCCCAAATTTATTCTTACTTGTACCCAAAAATAAAGGCAAAAATTTTATTTTTAACATTGTTTCAAATTTAATTTTATTCCATCATAATTTAAGGTAATTACTCAATTAATTTGAATAATTGTCTATTTTTAATCATAAATATTAATCAATTTTGAACAAAAAAAGTTCAACTTTTTAGAGGAATATATTTATAGAATATTATCATGCAGCACAACAATGTTTTACCTATGCATGCAGTTATTTGCTAGCAGGTGGTTATGCTTAGAATGCTTAGAAATTCGGACTAGACCAAAACTAATTTTTAGTGTTAATAAGTTCTTGGTCCTTTTTATGTCTTTTTTTTTTCGCCTCAAATATTTTTTTTTTCCCTCAGTTTAAGATTTCATTCAGATTGGACTATGAGAAAAGGAATGTTCGGGAATGTTTGTGATCACTTTCAAAGTTTATTGAGAAATAGACCAGTTGAGAAATCATTTAAAATTTTGTGATTATATTCAATTTAGTTTCAAACTGGTTTCTAAGCAGCGAATGGCATATCTCATTAACTGGAATTTTAGACAGATACTATTGAAAGAATTTTTTAATTAAATTTTCACAATCTTAACTATTGATATGTAAATTATTTTAGAGGGGAGATCAGTCAGTTTTTGAGAAGAACTAATACTAAATTAAGTTTTAACTATATAAGATGTTTTCTAGAATACTGCTAAACTTTTTTTTCTGAATTTATGATTAAAGTATCGAATATTTTTAGTTTAGTTATAACTCAAAAAATTGTATTCTTTTTATCCATATTTTGTTGATATTTAATCAACAAATAACTTTTCATGTCTCTTTGAGTTATCTCTTAAATTAAGTTTTTATTTTTTATTTTTTTTTGCCAGAAAATTGATAGATATTTTGGAGATTTGACTTTATAAATTTTCGTTGCACTATTATTGTTGAAAAACAAATAAGAAGTTATCTTTCTACTATTCTACAACAAAGTTATTGGATCCTCTTTTGAAATGACTTGGTCTTGATTAAATTTTTTGAACAGGTAATTAAATCTTAAGATCATCGAGATTGAAAGTAGTTAATTAACTATGAACTGAAGGTTCTGCTAAGCGATACTTCAAGTTTAATTCTTACGATCTTTATGGAAGATTATTTACTCATATAATCGTTGTACCTTTGCCCATAACTTGCACAGATTCACGTGTGATACTCTAAGTAAGAGAGCGTAAATCACTTTACTACTTTGTAATGTAAAAGTGATAATTTATAAAAGTTGCCTTGAACTGTGACCTATGACCTCGTGCAATATTGCAGTAAACAAAGGTAATTGGTGCTGTGATTGTGTCAAATTTTATTAGAATTTGACAATAGTTTATTGGTAATAAAAAAATTTTGATTTTGGCTTGTTTAAACAAATTAAATCGTTTTTTTTTTTTTTTTTTTTTTTTGGTAGAAAACTTTAAGTGGTAAAACATTTTTTGCCATCCTTATCAATCTTCTGACCGATGAATATACTTTAAATTTTTTGAACAATGTTCAACTAATAAACAAATAATTCTTGATAAAAAATTAACTATGAATTTACTGAACTTATAATGATTATTAGATAATTATGTTACTTTTTATATAATTATGTTAAATTAAGTAACATAATTTTTTTGTTTACTTTGAAACAAAAAAAGAAACTTTAATAATAACATTTGTAAGCAAACACAATCAAATTAGACTTACTGATGCTAACTTATGTTGTACTATTAATCCAAAAATTTGCATGAAAAAAGCAAAAAGTTTGTTCTACACAAAATTCATTCATTCATTTAATTAATTAATTCATTTATCTAGACAAAAATTTATTTATCAAATCATTTAATCTGACAAAATTGCGAATTTTATAACACTCACTTAGTCTTTTGAAAGTTTAATTTATAATCTAAGCTTTGTCTTCAACAAATATCAATTAATAATAAGGTTTTAAGTGATAAGTTAGAAATAAAGAAGTGTAGGATTTGATCATTTTTGATCATAGGATGATCAATCGATGAACTTTTGCACTTCTGTTAATACTAGAATATATTGGTGGTATTTAATTCAAATGTTGCAATCAGAGTTACTCCAATGAATAATTATTCTGGCATTTAATTCAATGATTGGAAATTGGATA